ACATTCCCGATTAGCACGCTAACTTGTAGAAGTATAGAACAATCTCAGTACGCCCTGAATTATGACGCTTCGTGAATTCCTTCCTACAGCATACATTACTAATGAATCCTGAGTGTTCGGCAGGGACACCGACCAGAGCATCCTTCAAACTATTAATTCCTAATCCACTGATCCCTGGGGGGAAACGGGTAACCAGCTCCTGTGAGTTGCAGCAGTTTAAAAACCGGAGGAGAGAACAGTTATGGCAGCATCTGTCACCTCACTGGGACAAAATGAAACAGGGCCAATGATTTGCAGACGGCCAGGCCACACAGAGATGGATGTCCAAAAGAGAAGCCATCGTGAGTTTGGTCCTCAAAACTCCAGGGATATTTGCCTGCCTTCATTGACAGTCACCATTACAGAGTGACTCAGGACATTGGAATGAATTTCACCTTCATTAAATTAGCCATTACCTCTCGAGCGATCTGTGGAGAAAGTATGGCTGAGGAGAAAGGTTGTACTGAAAATGAGGGAGTGAGGATTAGATTCTGGAGGAGTGGATATAAAGCACAGCCTTATTTAAGATGAGTTAAGGCTCCTGGTGCTTCACAACTCATAAGACTTATAATTTAACCGCGTCACATGTCGAAAAATGGGCTAGTGCTCTTGTCTTATAGCAAAAAGTTCATCCTTCAATCCCTGTTGGAGTTTTCCTGCGTGGAGTTCACGTGTTCCACCAGTGGTTTCCTTCAGATGGTCTGGTTTTCTGACACAGTCCAAGAAAATCCAGGATTACTTAAGAATCACCAACAAGGTTAAGAACCACGGCTTTAAATTGTTTAGTTGTTTTTTTTGTAAATGTATGCCACAGTGGTCGTGTCGGTGTGCAGTCTAGATATTAAAGTGTCCCGTATTCGGGCAATTTCCTATCACGCCCTACTGCCGTGTAGGTCAGGCATGGGCAAACTACAGCCCGAGGGCTGGATGTGGCCCCTTTGGCCTTTTAATCCGGCCCGTCATACTTGTCCAAATTATATTATCATTATACTTGTGATTTTTCCATGCAATGCCCGCATTTCACCAATAGATGGTGTAGAAAAAGCTAAAACTATTTTTAGCATTTTAGACTTTTACATATCATTTATTTTTGGTCACACGATCGCCCTGTCAAATTTTGGGACCCACTGTGACCCGAGAGTCATACAAAGTTGGCTCACTCCTGGTGTAGGTTCTCAGTTATCCAGGTCATCTTTTCCAGAGTAGACATACATTTTTAAAGTTCTGCTTCAAAAATGTATGTATGTATAACAACAGATGACAACTAGTTTCTGTCTGAGTCTTCATTAAGTGACACGTTCATTAGTAAAGGACGGTTCTCTGAGAGCTTCGCTTTAACCACAGTAACTTCCTGTGACGCTAATTAATTACCTGCTAATGTGAACCTACATGTTCCATACTGCACTTCTTGAGAACTGTATTATTAAAAGAGCTGCTGGTAATGAGCATTTCCATTATTGATTCATCTGCTGCCTGGTTCCTTCTTTATCCAATTACTGATCTGCCTGTAGCTACAAACCATGGAGGAGGTTCTTTAGTTTTCCAGCATCCAACGTAAAATGACCAGCTGCTAATTTTTTTTAATCAGGCCAAGTCCTTCCTTATTAAATACAAAATATATAGAAAGAAATGGACACTCTTCATTATTGGAAATCTGCTGTTGTAAAGAAAAACTCCATTAGTAACAGTCAACATATCACTTTTATTGACTTCCTGTCATTAGAATATCAATAATGTAATTGTTGCTGCTGCTTAAAATGTTGCATACACGTCTGCAAGATTAATTGCCGTCTTGTAGCTTTCCTTCGGGGACTTGCTGTTGTTTTTCTGCAGGTTGTGGTTGAATGATGTGACACCGTGACTGATTTCACAATTTAGACTTTGGGGAATTCAGTTTCTTTGTAAGTGCACTGCAGCTTATTTTTAGCACGTATTTGGCCTGGTTCTGGTTGAATATGATGTAAAATATTGTTTTCACTGTTATTATTTACTTTGCTTCCACTTCCAGGTGTTCGTATTAAAAGAAAGTGACCGTACAAAAATACTTTCCTACTAGTAAGATGAATATATTTGGCCTAAATTTGTTATGGTCATGATAAAAACCAAATCTCTGATCACATAGAAATATGAAGAATTTTAAATGTACAACAAACACAGTTAACGTCACAATGTTGCCGCTTCAAAAAAAGGTTAAGGCACAAGTTAAGCAACTAGCTATAACGGTTAGCAGTAGTAAAGAATAGCGAAACAACTTGAAGTATTAGCTAATTAAGAACACGCACAGGTGTCCATTTAGAAAGCAGCTCTTGTTGCACTACTCTTGCAGTATTATTTTGAGCACATTTATAGGCTATTGTATTGACTTTTTTAACATGTTACAAAAGGTGTGGCACCTTTGGCTGTTTTTTGGTTTAGCATTATCTGTCCTTTCGCTGATGACATCTTGTTGTACCTCTAAGACATACAGACCTACAGAACAGGTTGACTCAAATTGAATTTCTTAAATCAGATTAATCTAAAATTCCTGTAAAGAGTCCCTGCCAATAATATTCCACCTCCATTACTGCCCCATAATCTGCTGAGAGTCTGTCTCTTTAACTGCACTACACAAAAATGTATTGAAATACAACCTCCTTCAAGTCATTTTTCACAACTTTTCACATTAAGGCAATATTTTAAGTTGAGCTTTACTACTCTCTGATATTGATTAGCATCTCTTTCAGTCAGGCTGTATTAGACAAAAATTCCTTCTCAGACATCCCCACGCTGCACTGACTTTCTATTTAGGGCTCCTAATTTAAACAGACTCGAGAGCATTTGGCTCTGTCTGCCCCACAGAAGAGCCACTGGCAGCCGAGATAAAGCTATGATCCTTTTAATAGCATTTGTGCACGAAATGGCAAAGCAGATGGCACCAGACAAACCATAAGCAGCCAGACAGTGAGCGGGGAGGGAGAATTACCTCAGCTACTAATAAAAACAAACCAAGTGTCTGCTGTAAAACAATGCACAACAACACGCGTCCTCTACAGAGAAAAGAATCAATTGGTTGTTCCTTTTTCAAATGCAACTGTTCAAAATTGGAGCTACGACAATTTGCAAAAGAAGATCTATAGGCAACAAGCTCAGTGGAAACCAATCAATTCAAAGAGACAAAAGAAATGAGCAAGAAAACTCAATCTAGAGAAAGATAGATGGGCAGATCCGGCAGTGCAAATTGATGGGATTTAAAAGGGCAATTTCGGGCAATTATTGTTGTTGTTATTATTATTATTATTATTATTATTATTACATGTGTTTTTTGGATGTAGGGCCATATCTAACAATCAACTGATTCATTAATTTTTAGTTATACATTTTTCTATAAAAAAAAGTTTTGGTATTTGTCATCATGTTCTAACTCAAATTATAAGACAAATACTGACTGATAAAAATAATCAATGTAGCTTTCTTATAACAGAAAAGTCACAAGAAGTACATATAATGAAACATCATGATATGACTCAATATTAAACCATGGCCTGTTGAGTTGAACACCATGCTGACATACTCTCAGGAATTGAAGAAGGACACACAGATCAACGGCTCTGAGTTTCTCTCATTTGTTAGTTTTTATATCCATTTACTACCACCTAGTGGACGAGTATTTAAATGTTTTCCATGTCATTGTTGCATCAACAAACTGAGGTTAATTAGTTGCAGCAAATAAATTATATTTTTTTAGAACAATTGATTGAAAATAAATAATTTTTCACGGCACAAAAAAAAAAGAATTTGTTGGCATTTCCAAGGAGAGTATCCAGAGTTAAAAAGGATTGAACAGCTTGATGGGATGGATTAGGAATTTATAATGAAGTTTAAGGTTGAGATGGTTTGAGGTGGTGGGGAAAGAGAGGGGACGTAACGAGCGAAGGATCTTGGTGATGGAGCTGCCAGATGAGAGGAGAAGAAGGAGACCCTCGAGGAGATTCATGGACGCTGTAAAGGGGGGGGGTGAAAATGTATGGTGTAACACTAGAGGGGGGAGAACATGGGGGACGGAGCAACACGAGCAGTGGCAACAGGCAATGAAAAGGAAGAAAATGTAGAATAGAAGAAAGGAAGACGACACACAAAAAACACTTAATACACTTAATACCCTAATGACTAATAATAATAAATAATACTGTAATCATCTGACTCATGTGACTTTTTGGCAACAATCGTGGTTCTTTCTCAGCTCGATGAAGACAGCATCTGCTGTGGCGACATGTCCATACCTGTCCATGTACTAACTATGAAAATATAATTATAATATATCATTTTTCACCCTTTTATCAGTGGACACTCCAGTCCAATATGTCAAAGTTAAATATTACATGATTCTATCTATTTTAAAAAAAACATGAAACGATGATATATGATATGATAACATTCAAAAACACAAACACACTTGTATATATATATATATATATATATATACTCAGCTAAGTAGAATGATTATTTCCATCCCTGTATTTATTTTTTTTATTTGTATGTATTTATTTGTGTTTTAGGCTACATTTCCTGCTTCATTACAAATAAGTCAGACCCACAGATTATGTCCATTTATCAAACTAAACAAAATAATGTCATAAATAAAATGCCCATTATTTCCTGAAGTGTATTAAACCACATTCTCGTAATAGAAAGCTATAATAAACATATACACATTTACACTTTATTAACTCTGTATCAGACACAGCGTAGATTGATGGAGTCTTTGCATTACTTTGAAATGATCCGTGTTTCCCATTGTTAACAATAACTGATCCATTCAAGACAGTGTCTAAGAGAGGGGGGGGGGGGGATGAATCCAAAGCACACAACAAACTTGTTGACCGGTGCCACGCCCATGGAGTCAGTGGTCAGAATGTTGACCAACAGCTTTATGACTATAAAAAGTTTGGACAGCCAACAATGAGTGAGGAAAAAAGACTCACCTGCGCGGCCATGAATGACAGATCCATTCTGCTGCTCTGAGTTCTCCTTCGATCTTCAGCACCGGACGGAGACGTGCGTAATTTTGGCCTTTTTTATTCCAAGACTGAGCATTTGCGTCAGGCGTCTTTTCTTGCCTCCGCCGCCGCTGCTGCTGCTGCTGACACTGATGCTGCTGCTGCTGATGCTGCTGCTGATGTTCTTGTTGTTGTTAAAGGATGATGATGATGTTTGTTTCTCCCAGACTCGACATCCACTGGATATTGACTTGCAAGTTGTCGGAGTTTTACGTGGGGAGCATGTCGAAGGATGAAGAATGAGACGGAGAAGGAGATGAAGAGGGAGGATGAGAATGGAGCGGAATGGAGAAAAAGAAGAGGGAGGAGGAGGAGGAGCAGGAGGAGCGGACGGTGAAATGATGAGGAGAAAGATGCGAGGCGGTGAGAGAGTGAGAAGGGAGGGAGAGCGCGCGAGAGAAAGAGGGGGATGTAAGTAGCTGCTGGACTGTCGTACTAAAATGTCCACTCCTTTGTCTCTCGGTCACTAATCTGTTTGTAATGAAAGTTCTATTTTACACGAATGCAATTTTTTTCCCCCTTTGGCTGCAGCTCTCAGAACTCGCCAGTTTGGATCTTTCTCTGTCTGACCACGACTGTGATCTGACGTATACAGAAATCCCCCTGTCAAAATTAGCATTTTGACAGTTTAAAGTGTCAACAGCCTTGGTCTTAAATAAACAAACAAATAAAATCAGAATCCACTCAATCGGAACTTTAAGTTTAAGAAGAACATAAAATGAAAACGTCAGGATAAATCTACAAATAGCAGGGATGGAAACTGCTGCTGAATGTGCCTTGAATGACCTTGAAGATTTGATGTCATATTTCATAAGGAGGTGACATCTAAGGTTATGGACAGCTTTGGATTATATTTAAAAATAATTGTCATTTACATTTGCACCACTGGAAGTTAACACTGCCTGAGACTGAATCATCGAAAAACAAAGGTTTTAGACCGAAAATTATTAAGAGGAGAATCAAACATTGAGTGTTGAAAAAATATACACATTACAATGCACTGGACAGTTCAGTCAATCCCAATTCATATTTTTTATGTTATTTTTTTAAAGGCTGACCAGATGAAACCAGAACTGTTCCCACTTTTTTGAGTCTTGTCTGATTCTAATATATATATATATATATATAGTGCGTCACAAAACATCATTTTTATTTTATTACTATTACATCTTACTAAAAATCAAATTTCCATTTTTGCAACTGGCCATGTCTCAAAAAAAAAAAGAAGTGTTCCGCCCAGCTTGTGCACCTCCCTGGACGTTGTGTCTGATTTTCTACGGCGTCTTTTTCTGTCACTATTAACATTCCTGTCACAGTTTGTTTTTCTGAGAAACAAATACCCAGCGAACCTTTGACAAACCCATGAGGATGCCCGAAAAACTACTAATCCTATAAAGATTTCTGCAAACATCTGGAAGAAAATATCTTCTACTGCATTAAAGAAAAGGCTCCTTAAAAAGAGAGGTCTATACTGTAGTACTGTATAGAGTGACTGAGTACACACATATTCTACACCGTGTTCTAGTACATTTTATTCTACTCAACAATTGCAATTTAAACACAAATTCTTAGGTTATAAACATTATTGACAAAATGTTACACTTCAAGTGTAAAGTTACATCGCTTTATGTACAAAGTATTTTAAAATTTTACTGTTATGGTGGAAGCTGTAAACAAACATAATTAAAATAAATTAGCTAAAGCCTGATGCTAAAATGACCGTCGTTTATAGGGGCTTCTTTCAGACTTGGGTAACAATTAGGATTAATTGAATCAAACTGTGACAATTAAAAGGTTAAAATTATTGCGTTCGATTTGGCCCTTCAATGACCCCTGACCTTCTCCCTTTGTCAGCTGGGATTGACTGCAGCTGTTCCTCTTGACCTTTCAAAAGATGATAGAGTCAAAAATGAGCACCTGCTGGAAATAAATAATTCACTTAAAATCAAGACAAACTGAACTCATCTGAGCTGTTCAGGTCAAAATGCAACTCGATGGACGAAGACGTCTCCTGTCGCTCTTTTAAGGCAGTCAGCGGGAGCTGGAGCTCCTGGTCCAGAAGTGGTCAGATGGATATTTTAGTTTACGGAATTGAAATCTCACTCACAGCCTCCAGCGCTCAGCTTATTCAAGGCTTCATTGAAAACCCATGACCTAGCACTAATGACACAGTATGAATGAACAAGGCCTGTTGAGTTAAAGAGGCAGCTATTACTCATAGGAGAGTGTCATCAGCAAAGAGACAGACATCAGGTTCTACATACAGTGGACGGTCCAGAGACGCTCTGTAACACACACGTGACCTTCACGTAGTTTCAGAGTCTAGTACCAGGTATATTTATTTTGTGTAATAAGTGTCTGTTATAAAGACATTTTGCATCGTGTTGGCCATTCATACAAGAGTTTCATCGAGTCAACTGTGTTGCTCCAATATACCACGATCCCCTGATCAGAAACTGATGAAGTTCCTCGGTTGAGGAACGAAACGTCTTTCACGTTCCAAGAAGAGCTGAGTTCATAGAAAGAAGTTTTAATGGTGTCTGATATTGAAGACGAAAAGGTTAAGCTACAACCCTCAGACGTCTCCAACAGCTTCGAGAAGTTTGACCATTATAGCATTAGAAATAAAGCCACCAGCGTTCAGCACATCGATCTAGTCCACTCATGTCAAACTCAATCACTCAACAGGCCGAAAATCAAAACACAGTGACTGTGTCTATAACCGCAATAATAATTACGTTATTACCTGCCCGCCAAAGTAGTGTCCGAAACCATTTTTTAACCCTTGACTACTGCACTATATGAAATTCCTTATATTGGTAGTAGGGAGTAGGGAATACTCCCAATACAACAAATAAAAAATGCATATAACGCACGTGCAGAATTTCACATTTGCATACAGCCGAGCTAGTAAGCATTTGCGTGGATTCATTTAATACTTATTTTGGACTTATGTGACATATAAAGCTTGTTCTGTATCTCTGCGATTCCATAAATCCCCACTTAAAAAGCTCTCCTCTGTCTTTTCTGCCAACGTTTTGATTTTGAAACAAATCCTCATCGGTTCAAAACGCGCTCATCGTTTATTGCCCTGCTTCACAGCTCTGATATAATTTTTTAAAAAAAGCTCCAATACATTGTGCATCAAAGTGAGTTTTGTCCTCTTAGGATACTCCAGGTTGATGTTAATGAGTTTGAATAATGTTTCGCCACCTACTGGGCTGGCTTGTCCAACATTAATAAAACTGTGCGGTGTGACTGATGTGTTCTGTCACCAGGACCTTCACTGCCTGGAGTCCATGTGTTTGTGCTGATGTGATTTTCATGTAATTCCAGTCTATTCCACATGTATGGTTTCCGAGCAGATCGGACATAGTTTGTGATTAATCCCAAATAGCCTCAACCTTGGGGAGGACTTTGGACATTTGGAGGGCTTCATGTCAGAATCTATGAATAACATTATTGCTGTGAAATATCTACGCATAATCAATCAAAGAGCAACGCATCAAGCAACCAATGAGGGGATTTTCAATAAAGCAACCTGGGAAAGAAAAATGGAAAGCAGATAGAAATTTATGCTCTACTGTCAACATATCAGCGCAGCCTCATGCAACATACAACACACACAGAATCAGGTTTAAACAGTTATTCCTTATATTACTCATGTCAAACCTGGCCTAATAGATGGGACGCAGCTCTGAGTGTACTGTAGGTCTGCAGATGTATGTGTTGTTTTATCTTTTTTTTTTCTAGATAATCAGAAGAAGCATAGACTGTAAATGGTGGACACCTATCTCCACTGCAGGTTGCAGTTGCACAGCTAACTAGACAGATAGATAGAATATCTAAAGCTATTCACAGTTTATTCACAGAATATCTGCATTTTATCTACAAACATGTTAGCTTTATGCCTAATTGTCAACATGCTAGGACTAGCACAAAAGCTCATTTTCATCTTTAACAAACTCTTTATAAAAACTGTAAACGTTAGGTCATAGAAAACCAACACAAAACAAATACAAGTAAAAATGTAAGTGTTGTGTAGCTGTAGCCAAGTCAACAAGGAGTAAAAAACATATACAGTATGTAGTATAGTATATGAATGTATGAATATATCATTCATATGTATCTCTAACAAAAACAACCATCCGACTATATTTGTAGTCCCAGTTCTTCAGATTCTCCTCTGGTTTGTGCTCTGGTTTTTAAAGTTTTACTGTGTTTTTCTGTGGATAATATCATTTAATGGAGGAGAGGGAGACCATTTAAACCTTTAACATAAAGACAAACATCATTTAAAATTTAGTGGCTTTCACAGTTTTAAATGTCTAACTTGCTCACAATATTCCAATAGTACTAATGAAACAGGTTTTCGAAAATAACGAACCTGTACATTTTCAGTGGTAAAGCAGCAGCAGATACTGGTACACAAGCCTAGAGTGCCCTTTCCTGGCTGTCAGTGTGAAAATAACAAACATGTGAAATGATATATTTTTAATATATAAGTTGCACCGGAGTATAAGTCGCAAACCCAGGCAAAGGATGGAATACAGTGCGACTTATAGTCTGGAAAATACGATAAATGTGATTGGTAACCAAATGTAATTGACACCCAATAATGTGGAAACAGTACCTCTTAAACCCACAACCCTTTTTCTATCAACTAAAATCCTACCCCTTACTCGTAGAGCCTCAACCTACGAACCCAAACATTCCCATACTCCTTAGCCTTACCTTAGTAACCAAAAAGTTCTCCCTATTCATGAACCCAATTAGTACCACCGGTCCTACAGTATAGCAGTACAAACATGTACACACAGACAAATATTCACCCTCAGCTTATGGAAAGCCAACACATCGATTCATAATTAATGCTGAGCATAAATCATTAATATTCATGTCTCCCTCTGTGCTTGACCAGGAGGAACCCACGGAGACACAGTCTTGACACATTTACTACACCACACCAGCCAGTCTCAACTTTCTCTGCGACCCTTTAGAAACTCCAAGAGTGTTCTTTCATTTCTCCTGCTGCGACTTTCCTGATCGACGTCATCTTTCATCTCCCGGCGCCCGGTTTCTTTTGCCTTTCCACTCGACCAAGGTAGTTGGCTATAAGCCTTTTCTTGTGCATCTGCGCCCCACATCTGCTCCGGCTAAATTAATGCATTTCAACCATATCAGGCTTTAAAATTGCACCGGTCTCTGTGGCTTTGTTTCCGTGACAGCAGCTTTATTGGCCAGTCAGATGTGATAAAGCACATTGGTACCAGAGTTACAGTATTTGCTGTATAGAAATGCTACGTCGGTGGCCACATCCTTCACCGCTTCACCACAGGAGAAGCACAGAGACTCAGAGTACCTTCCTGTGTGTGTTTGTGTGTGACACATCAGAGTGTACTTCTAACTTAAAGGGAACATGTACAAACTTGACCTTTTTTTAAGTTGCTCTCTGAATAGCTGGGGATCTTCAAGAGCTTTCCGGAAAATAAACAGAGAGTCCCCAGTTCTGGTGGCTCATTCCACCAGCGTGGAACGATCCTTGACAAGAGCCTGGATTGTCTTCAAGGTGTTGGGACCGCCAGACAACACTGGCCAGACAAGCAAAGAAGTCGTGGGGTAACGTAAGCCTTTATCAGAGTACTAAAGTAGATTGGAGTAGACCCATTAAGTACCCTGTAGGCTAGGATAAGTG